GTCACAGCTCACAGCAACCTCCAGTTCTTGGGCTTAGGTGATTCTCTTGCCTCAGCCTCCGAGTAGCTGGGACTATAGGCACCTGCCACAAGGCCCAGCTATTTTTTTGTTGCAGTTTGGCTGGGGTCCGGGTTTGAACCTGCCACCTTCGGTATATGGGACCAAGCGCCCTACTCACTGAGCCACAGCTGCTGCCCATGCCACAAAAATTTTTAAAGATCATTAAATTATTTTCAAAAGAAGTTCAAAGCATAACAAGTATATTCTTTTATATATATATATATATATATATATATACACACTTTTTTGATCAACACAATTTAAATGTGCCGAGGAAGTTTAACTATAGGTTCAAGTGTGCTATGAGATAAAAAAGGTTGAAAAACACTGCTATAGAGCCTTTTAATTTACAAAACATTTTGATATATTCTAGGTCATATTTATGCTCTCAATAATTCTTTGTTATCAGCACCACTTCACAAAACAAGAAATAGACTTAAGAGAAATGACCCATCACAGAGGAGATTAAAAAATGAAATTTCAACCTAAGTTTTCTTTCTTTTTTTTTTGCTGTTTCTGGCTGGGGCTGGGTTTGAACCCGCCACCTCTGGCATATAGGGCCAGCACCCTCCTCCTTTGAGCCACAGACGCCGCCCTCAACCTAGGTTTTCTTTACTCTAAGCCTCATGCTTTTCTCATTCTATCATTTAGTTTGCATACTTGGCATTAAAAAATGTTATGTTTTAGAAAATATCACATTTATATGTTTTATAATAGTTTACATATTAACTTTTGTTATTTTCCACATTTATTTTTAAAGCTGTTTTAAATGCCTTATATTTTATATTCAGCATTTCTAGAATTACATAAGTGGCAATCTGTTGATACTAAGACATATGTCTTTAGACCCTCAGGCATTACTATATGTCATTGACTATGATACCTTGGGGTACACAAAAGAGATAAAAATTAAAATTTCCTATTTTAAGCTATGACATTGCAAGTTTTTGCTTTCTAAAATGTATGTGCCAATTCACATACTAACAAATTTATATTTGCCTTAAATTTTCATGGCATTAAAAATACTTAGATAACATTTGGAATAGCCTCTTGATTCTTTAAGATGCAAATTACTAAACACTGATTAAAATTTCTTCTAATAAACTGTTGAGAAAAATTACCTTTTATAAGTGCTGCTTCCTTTCGTCTTTCTTCCTCCTACATAGAAAAGTTATTTGTATTTTAAAAACCGAATAGCTTTTGTAGAACAGGTATATAATAGCTTTGATATATTTGATTTATGTATTTATGAGAGTAATACATTTAAACATTATACATTTTGATGAAAAATGTTTTTTTCCTACAATATGAATTTCTTTCACCAAAAGAGATTAACAGAAAAAGGAAACTGTTAAAAGTATCATCTGAAAAGTATTTGGATTGGTCCAAAACACAGTCTCCAGGATAGGCAATAAAAGGGTGAAATATAGTTCAAACAGGATTACTTCTTTCCATCCTCACTTAGTGTCACTTAGTTAGAACTAGAGAGGGCTAAATAATTAGAATTCCTAGACTCATTCCTTTAATTAACTAACAACAACAACAACAAAGTGGCTTCTGGCCAAAGGCCTTTAGAAAAATGTAAATATTCTTCTAAAGCAAATTAAACATTGCTTAAACAATACATTCCAGATGTGCTCTGGGAAGTGAAGTGGGGTAGTAGTTCTCAAACTTTAGGGTGTAAGAATCACCTGGTATGCTCGTTAAAATTCTGATTCTTGGCTGTGCTGGTAACTCATGCCTGTAATCCTACCACTCTGGGAGACT